GAGAGAGAGAGAGGTTTCAGCTTTGCCATGGGATTATGAAATATATTTGTAAACATGCAAATGAACTTGGTCTTAATACCACAGAAGCAACCAGATAATAATGACAATACAGTAATATAGAATGCAAAATAGATAAACCATGGTCTCACCACCCATGCACCACATATATTGCAACCACATATACTGCAAAATCATCTAGTGTGTGAATCATCTCTATTTACAACTGGATCGAGGTATTAGGCAGCAAATAAACTGAATATTGTGTCATCTAGAACACCCTACCAGGCTGCTGTTAGTTCAATTAACAAGTACCTAAAAGGCATTACATGCAATCATTCTTAATATTCAGTCTTATAGTCATTAACGAATAATTGTCACAACCTACAACACTTGGGAATTTCCATTAAATAAAGAACAGACATACATATGACTTGTTTAGGTGCCAATATCCGACACCATATAAAAATATAGACACGAATTAATCTTATCCACAAGAATAATTTTTTTATCATTAAGGAAAATTGTATTACTAAAATAAAATTAAACAAAAATCAAAAAAATTAAACAAAGGCCAACAGACGTCAAAATAACATCTCAGGATTCCAACAATAAAGTTGCATCAACATATAGCGATACTTGAAGAGCCCCTTCATTGTCAAGGGTATCAGTCTCTTGGTTAGCTCCCTTAAGAATGTGCACAAAAGTCAGTCTTAATGACACAAATGTCAAAGATCTCACTAAATATCATCAATTTTTTAGCCGAATAACCACCCTCCATAACCCTTCTCTCTTCCAGAGTAAGGCCAAAGTAGTCGAATTTCTCTCCCAAATCTTCCAAATGCCCCATCCCCTGTATCACATTGGTCGACATACCTCTTCCCAATAAACAAAGTGAAACGTATCCCCCTCAGTTCATCTCCTCCAAAAGAAATTTTGTTGCAATCTCTTCAGCCTAGCAACCACAAAGGCCGGCATATGGAAAAGAGAGATAATATACTGGCCGATTTAAGAACGTAGCTCTAATAAGTGTGAGCCTCCCCACCAAGGATAACAACACATCTTTCCACATTGCCAATCTTCTCTCCACCCTCTCCACCATAGGATCCCATAAACTCTTCTTCAGTTGTGCACTGTGAAGTTGAAGGGCCAAATACTTATCAGGAAGAGACGAAACTTGATACCCAAGTCTATCTACTATGGATAACATCCGTTCCTTAAACCAACCCCCATGAGTGAACTCTTGTGCAAATTTATATCAAGAACACTCATCATCTCATAATATCAAAATATAAACCACCACTTATCTAACTGATCTATAGATGCATCACAAAATATAAGTGTATCATCAGCAAATTGTAAGTGTGATATGCCCAAAGCACCACATAAAACACAAAAACCAGAAAACCTCGCTCCACAATCCAAAGCTTGAAGGCAATCGACCAGAAACCTTGGGAACCATCATAAAGAAAAAAGGTGATAATGGCACCTTGCCTAAGATCTCTAGATGCTTAAATCCTCATGGGGACCCATTCCCCATCAGTGAAAAGGATGGTTCACATATGCTGAAATCCACCTCCTCTATCTCTCTCCCCAAAGCCCATCCTCCTCATCACATAATCTAAACAGCCACAATCAACATGATCATAGGCTTTCTCCATGTCAATGTTATATGCAATCTCGAGAGCCCTTTGTGTCTTGAGTCAATACACTCACGAGCAATGACAGCACTATCCAAAATCTGCCTAACCCTTGACAAAATCTCCTAGTTCTAGAGAGATAACATGACCACAAACCAACCTCAACCTAGATACCAACACCTCTGCTAAAATCTTGCAAAAGCTTCCCACTAAACTAATGGGCTGATAATCCCTGATATCCACTGGTTCTGCTACCTTAGGAATCAAAGTTATGAAATTGGCTCTTATTCCCAATGAATAGTGGCTCTCTCATGGAACTGATTGAACTTCATAACCAACACATCTTTCAACAACTCCCGGAGAGCCTAAAAAAGGCCATAGTATTCATCAGGAACTTGCGCCCTATCATGCCCCATAGCAAATATTACCGTCTTTATCTCATCCTCAGTGAAAGAGTCATCAAACCATCTGCCACCCCTTCCAGTAAATCCTCAGTCTCCAAGCCATCAACCCTTGGTCTAGAGAAGACCACCAACTGACAAAAGTTTCTGAACGATTCCCACAATAGCATGTTCCACCCCATCTTGCTCTTGAAACACTTTCACATACAACTCAAAGGAGGAAATACACTTAGACAGCCTCCTAGCAGATGTGCAACGGAGGGAAAAGGGTGATTTTTTTATCTCCGTCCTTCAGCCATCTGATACTGTACAAAATACGAGCCCTATCCACAATTTACTCCCCAAAAATCCCTTGGACCTCTTACAGTTCACGCACCAAAAGAAAAGAAAAAGAAAGCCCCCCTTGAACCGCTTCCTTTTGGTTTAGGACTTGTAACTCTTGCACAGTGTATTCTTTGTATTTTCCAATAAACAAATCACTCCTCCAGTATCCTTTTCAACCCCTTGGACATATTAGATAGTCAAGACGAGCCCATCCAACCTCATAACACGATCTCCACCAAGAAGTCACCAGCTCATGAAACCACCATATGCTTCCAGCCACATTCTCAAACCTGAAATGTTTAAGGGTTAAAAGGCAAGGTCCGAGTATCAAGCAAAATGGGAAACAGTTTTAGGGAGAGCTACACAGTTCGACAAAAGCTTGCTTCCCACTCAATTGACAGTATACACAATCCAATCTAAAGATGGCTGGATCCACTCCCCTGTCCCAACTCATGGTGACACCAAATCTAGAAAGTGCCTCGTACCAGTCGTGATTCAACAACAACCCTTCCAATGAGTAAGTGAACGACATGGAAGTCACCACCAAGCAATTGTGGCTCATCCCACCTTAGCCCCAATCCAACCAACTCCATCCAAAAATGCTCTCCCTTGCCTAGATCATTAGGCCCATATTGTGAGTGTATAGAAACCAATTCTCTTGACTTGGACTACAATGTAGACAAAATACAAGACAATACTCCACAGAATTTTCCAATACACTTTTTTTTTTAAGATAATTTTCCAATACACTTGGAAAATAAAACTTGCAAAATCAAATTACAGCAAGGTCACTGTAACTACAGTGAGCTATTGACTTCAAAATACACTCGAATGAGAAGATACAACTCAATTAGGGTCCCTTACGCATGAAAAAAACAAGCCACAAAAGGAGATCATCCAACCACACATGTATAGCGTGCATTTGAAAATTATGCACCACTCAAATTTACAAAGCAAAATTATACATCAATGAACTCATAAAAACTCATCACAACATGATTTCCATTACATCAACATACAAATGCTCAAGTGTGCAATGCATCATGACCATGGAAAGCCAATCGGCCCAGTTTACAGCCTTCAGTCTCAGCTATATGTCATTGGGTGACATGCGATAGCATACCCAATTCATCATCTATCAAGTGAGAAGCAAAACATCTACTGATACATACTTAAAACATGGAAGGATTTGCAGAGATCTAAAGATCAAATCAAGTGGGAAAATCGTGGGAGAAAACCGGGCTCTTAAAATAGAAAACCGGTTTAATTAATAGAGTTCACAATCTGGGGCACAAAATTTCAGCATAATCTCCCCTTATAAAAACCACAATTCAAGAGATTAAAAAGATCTAAATCAGTGATATTATCATAAAAATCTCAACAAAATATCAGTCAAAATTGCTCCAAAAATCAAGAGGGAAAGCTTATGAAAACTAGATCAAAATATGCATGGATGAAGTCTTCAACTATATGGATAAAGAAAGATCAATGATGATTCAAAGGATCAAAGATTTAATCATCAAAGGATGGAGAAATTTTGTTATAATTGAGAATTTACGGCAAGGAGAAACTAAAGGAATCA